TCTCTAAACATTTAAATATAGATCTGCGTATTAAGTAGGGAAAATCATATTTAAAAGTCAATTGAACCCACGTTAGCGAAATGTTTAAAATATAAATAGAATTCTATATTTAAAATAAAATTGTCTTAATAAATAATTTTACATTGTAAGAAAAAAATATGAATGGGGTGTCATTTAAATTCATTTGAAGACAATTTTTTTTAAAATATATATTATAAATACTGATGCATTTGTTTATAAGAATTCAAAATTTTATAATAATTAATAGATATTCAATATTTAACTCAAATTTAAGCAATATATAATATGATTGTATACTTAATAATAATGAGCCTTTTACGATATAGCATAATTGTTAACAATACGTTCAAAATTATGAAAAACAACCTAATTTGAAGGAAGTTGTTACATTTGTGAATCAACTAATTTTTAAAAATTTTGTTTAGTGAAACGACTTAAATCTACTGTAATATCGTAAATTTTGACATTTAAAAAATAATATAATTTTGAAGTCTAGCTTTTTGAAGTTGCATTTTTATGCTGCGCATCGTCATTCATTCTTACCATTTTACTCATCTTTCTAAATAACATATTGTATGTATGCAAATTGTGGTTTTCTTTAATTAATCAAGTATAAAATATTTCAAATCAAATTCAAACTTTCAAATACAACCTTGAGCATTTTATTTCATTTTCAAAATGCTCTTATAAAATAGGAAAAATTGATTGTGAATGAATAACATGACCAGTAGTAGCGAACAGTTCAATTAAAATGACATGAAATCAATGTTTTTAAATTTTAAGTATTATCGAAAGTAGAAATTTAAGAGCAATTCTCTAAGTATACAAACATACCTTTGTAAGTAATTACCTGTTTCATTAGTGCCGATTCTACATACAAGTGTTTGCAGTTATTTTGTATAATATTTTTTGTTTAATACTATTATACAAACATAAGTACATAAGCATGTAGTAAATACATTTATATATACGGATTTACAAAGAAATCGAAACCTTAACTAGAACAACGAGAAATTTAACACAACGAATAATTATAACAAATTTAAACAATAATATTAACTTACTACAACAGGAAAAAAAAGTTTGCTAACACTGGTACAACAAACAAAACTTTACAAGAAAAAATATTGTACATACTCCCCTTTTAGTTAAACTGTTTTAGCATAATTTAATACCTACATAAATGTTGTTATGTGTGTACAATATACTTATATCCATACGTACCTTCACGGAAAATATGTTTCTGATATTTGATTTTTATTATTTGCTTATTAATTATTTTTCTAACAGTAAACTACCACATGCATAGAAGTTCACAGAAATTATAAAATACTTACATAATTTTTGTTTTGTAAACTTTTTAATTCATACTGGTTTGTTTGTCGTTTTTTCTTAAAAAAAAAAATATGTATAAAAAATTTTCATGAAATTTAATTTACTATTTTTTTTTTGTTTTTTTTTTTTTCATCCATATCCAAATGAATGATATGTGTTACTGTTGCTATATAATATACATATAAAACAATACAAACACATTTTACATGTATATATACATATCTATATATTTTGTATACAAATTTATATGTATGTATGTACTTAAATAATATAAGTAATAATAATGCAATAAAATTTTGTATACATGCATACATACATATATATTTTCCTATTTAGAAGTAACTTCCTAAATTGAATTTCCGTTGAAGACGTTCCTATGTATGCACGTGGAAAGGTGAGCAAATTCAAAACATATGTATGTAGTATCTACATACATATGTATGTATATGAAAAGTGATAAAATTTTGTTATAATTAAATTTCTGTATGAAGTTTTGCAAGAAATTAATGTGTACCTAATTGAGAACAATTTAAGTATTGAGAATGCATCATTATGATGGCACACATTGAGTCAGGTGAACAGAAACTAATAAGACATACGTACATACATATATACCTACATCCATGCATATTTATCCTTACAAATGCGTTACATACTTCTACACTTATTTACATATTTTTTACGTACCTAAGTAGTTATTCATAGGTACTAGGTTTCAAACCAATTCGCATATTACTTATAAATTATATTGCACAAATTATTAAATTAATTTCAATTATGAAAATTTCTATATTTACACAAACATTATAAACATTTTTACACATTTCTACATTTATACATATATTATAAAATAATTTGTAAACTACATACTACAACGTTTGATATAAATATAAAAATCTCTCAAATTGTTGAAAGTGATAAACTCAAAAAGTAAGCATATTTAAAAAGCTTTAAGCTTCTACAAACTTTTTATTTTACTTAAATTAAATTTGAAAATCCGCCAAAATCATAATATTTATGCAAATGATTACATATATGTACATACTTACATGCACACCTACATAAGTATGTACATTAAATTCTATTAAAAAAAAAACTAAAAATTTATTGTGTCTGTAATGTTTAACAATACATATAGCTATCTCAAAAAAAAGAAAAAAATTATAAATTTTTTTAAATACCTACAATATGCACAAAGTCTGTTTAACCATAAAACTATCCACTATGAGGGAATATCATAGGATACGCCATAAGATAGCAAACAACGTCCTTTTATTAAGTGTACTCATTTAATTTAAGTAATACTTTTCATTTCCGTTATGTTTTCTAGATGCCAAATTTTTATACATATATATCAATATATACAAATATATATTTACTTTTATATTTAATAAGTTCCAACAAGTTCCAATAAGTTTAAATTACGCTAAAAGCATTAAATAATTTTGAATATTCATATTAATTTTTTATTATAATCACATAAAAATTTTTTATTATAATTATTATAATCACTGAAATTTCTATCCGGTTGTAGCGCTACGAAATTAAGGTTTGACATATGGACATTTACATATTCCTGCCCAGCGTCGAATTCTAATTCGAAAAAATAAATAAATATATTAATAAAAACGCCTATCGAAGACTGTGAGGAAATATTATTAAAAATTTTAAAATCGTACATTCGTAAGGGAATCTCATAGTTGATACGGTAAACTCTATCTTATTTATTATTGTCATTACTTTATATTTGATTAATATTTTTTATTAAGAATTTTATTGTTAAATATTTAATTAAAATAATAATAATTATAGGTATATACATACATATACTTATACTTATGGACAAACAAATGCATATTTAACAGCATAAACATTTGTGCATTTTGATGAAATAATTTTATTCTTAACATTTAGATTTTGCAATAAATTCAAAATAATATTTTATTGGAGTAAACACAAATAAACAAATAAAATCAAAAGGTTAAAAGTTTGTAAAGTTAAAAAGTTCAAATTAATAATATAAAAATTTTTTATATCAATTTATATATACGCAAACATACGCACATATACACACATATGCGTATAGATACATATTTAATAGTTATGCATAATATGGTGATCTGATTATTCATATAAAAACCGAAACCTTTGACTCTCCATAAATTCTAATGGCAATAACTTTAGCAATAGTTTTTCTAACTAAGTAAACAGCAAAACATTATCAAGTGATAATATTTTTCATATAAAATTTTTCTGCTGTGCTGTGGTCAAATTTTTCTACATTTCAACTCATTTCAATACTTATATTTTCCTTTTTTTTGTTTTGTACTTGTCTAATGTTTTTTTTTAAATACATACATACATATCTATGTACAATATAATATATACATATATTTACAATCGTCGTTATCAAAATTTTATATATAAATTTTTTCATTTGTTTATTTTTTCTTTTTTATACAAAGCTATCGTAATGCTTTTACATACTTCCCATGTGGTGTTTTATTTTTATCACTAATTTTAATAATATTACCTATCAGTTTATATTTATAGAAAAATATTTAACCCTACAGTGTTTTAACCGGAAACGCTATAGTGGTGACAATGAATTTAACAAAAAGAAAGATTCAATTCTCATAAATTTGATACATTTTTTATTTTATTAAAAAATATTGTAAGTTTGAAAAAATTATTTGACATGATTTCACCAAATTAAAAAAGAGCATGGCAAAATAAATAAAAAAAAATTATTTCAATTTAAAAAAGCTCCCTGTTAGCCTTAAAGTAAAATTTAAAGTACCTACACGCTTCGATCTTTTTTTGAAACGGAAGTTATAAACAAAAAGATTCAGGTATGTCAAAATATCGTCAAATTTTCTTAAGATCCCTGTGGCTCCAAAACAGTTATGATTAGACATTATGAGCCGAACAAAAAATTTTACTAATATTTTACGGTATTATCAAATTTTTTTACGAAAAGTTTTAAACCTCTGCTTCAATTGAACTCAAACTTAATAGAATTCTTAAATAAATAGATTTTGTGAAAATTTTGTAGACCCTAATAAGTTTTTGAGCTTTTTTGCATGACCGCACACAAACAAGGATGAATCTGCTCCGAATTTAATGTGAACTAATAATAAAGTGCTGTATTACAAATCGGTTTATTAATGGGAAAACAATAAAACATTAAAGGGGTTAATATATAAATTCAAGTTTGTTTTATTATTATATTTATGTACATACATATCTCTAACTGTCTGTAACAAAAAAGAAAAAAGGGAAATAAAAAAAAAAGCTTTCAAATGGTCAGTCAGTCGTCTACAATCAATCGTCCGTCTATATTGAAATTTTGTATATACTTTTCCAATAAAAATAAACTAGTATAATGTTGTTGTTGCTATTTTGTTTAGATCAAATGATAATATTTTTTTTTTGTTTTAAATAGATTAACGTAAATATTCAAGTGCTTAACTTTTTTACATTTTTAAATTTCATATTAAAAAGAAAAATGAAATTTAAAATTCCAATATTTATATCAATGGTATGCTAAATCAAGAAGAGATTTTTTTTTGTGAAAATTTCTGTTCTGTGCCATTTTTATACACATAATATAATTTAAAAAAATTTTTTTTTTGTCATTTTAGCCAAAAACAGATTCTGGAAGCCATTCAACCCACCAGACATCACATGATTTACAACAGCAACATCAATCGAGCACAACAGTTAGTAATTTAAGTTCATCATCTTCTTCCCACCTAAAGAATTCAAATTTAGTTATTAAAGATGATAGTCGTTTAAGAACCCAATCTCCCCATGGAAATAGTAATAGTAATACAATAGCAAATAACAATATATCAGGCAGTCAAATTAGCTCTAATAACAATCAATCGACAACACCGTCTATATCGTTACCTTCAACAGGACCGGCAACCGGAGTAACGTTATTATCATCTTCATCATCATCATCATCAACGTTATCATCTTCTGTACATAATTCGAATAATAGTACTAATATAAGCGGTAATAATAGTAGCAACAACAATAATAATTCTGGTTCAACACCGAGTTTATACGTGTCGGTGCCATTATCTACAGCAAATGTACCTGGCGTTAATATACCTTCAACTGCATCCAATGGTATGTTTTATTTTATTGAAAAAGAATTGAGAACCACGTTAATTTTTTTATATATGTTTTGTTAAACGTTTCAATATTTATTTTGTATATTTTATAGTTTAAAATTATTTTATAGATAATCGTTTTCATTTTGTGACGATTTGTTATTACGCAATCGTTAACACTTCATTTTAACATAAAATATACAATTCAAATAGATTGAATAGTGTTTTCACATTTTACAAATAAAATAGTTGAAAATTAATTTAGATAAAAAATTATCAAATATATACAGATACACATATATACTCGTAAATGTATATATGTATATATTTTTAAAATAATAATATATTTTTTAAATTAGTAAATTTCATTGTAATACAATAAAGTTTATCGCATAAGATATTATATTAAATATAATTTTAGCATTCCCTTAATATCTTAACAAAACGAATTAAAAATTTAAAAAAAATGTTACTATAATTTAAGGTTCAACCAGCGGGACTGGTGGGAGTGGTGTAAGTCTAAGTAGTGTATCTTCCAGCAGTATTAACAACAGTGGGAATAATGCTGGAGGGAAACAATCACCTAGAATTTCGGGAGGATTTCCTTCTTCAACGCAGCAATTACATAACACAAATAATTTGATTGCACCTGAGCATAGTAAATCTATAATTAGTGGAAGTAGCAGCAGTGCTGCGATTCAAAGTAACAGCAGTGTTATTCAACCGATCGTTTCACCGTTAGGTTCTACAAATTCAAATTTAAGCGCGTCAAATGAAAGTGTTAATCTAACAATTAAATATGAAAAACAACCAAACTTTAGGGTAGCCAAAGTTCAAGAACAGGAATCAGGTCCAGCGAGACGATCAAGGTGATTTTTATAGAAATACATAAATACAATAAAAGTTTCAATATATTCAAAATTAAACACAAGATCAGACAAAAATTAAATTAATATTTTTTAATTTTTGCGAGATTCTTAACTTTATGTAATTTTCTTAATTTAATTATTGTTCTTATAATTATTATAATTATTATTATTATTATTATTGTGTAAACTTTTAATTTTGTACCAATAGAATTATGTTGCATTGCATTTCATTTGGTGGTTTCATGACATTAATTAAAAAATGATTTAAAATTTTTAATTTTATTCTTAGATAAAATTGCATGAATTTATAAGTTTTGAATTATTTTGCCAAGGAAATACAAAAAATGAGGGGATTAAATATTTTACTTCAAGCTTATTTTCAAAGCAACTTAAAAGAAATCTAAGAAAGATTGCATAACACAAAATGAAAAGCTAACAACGCAACTTTAAGCTTAAAAATTTTGTGTTAAAACTAATATGTTACAATAAAAGATGTTTTTATTAGTTTGCTAATTGCAATCAATTAAAATATTTTGAGTTTTTCTTTGTATATAAGTTTTCATCGTATTTTTTCAATTAACAAAAGATATTGAGATATTTTGCTATTATCGAAACTGCTTTTTGGTGATCAATTGGGCACTAGATAAATTAAATACAATATTAATTAAATTTTGAATTTAAAACTGCTGCAATTTATACATAAATACCAAAAATATTAATTAGCGATTTCTCTTAATGTTTGGTTTCTTTATTTGAGGTGCTTATTAATCCGACGTCCCGTTTTTTTAACCTTAATTTATATACATAAGTTGATATAAGTTGCAATAACTTCTCTAGTTAAATAATAAATGTTAAAATAATTTAATTTTTGTTGATATTTTTAAAATGGAATGCACTTATATATATACATATATATATATATGGTTTAATTCTTTCTCGTAATCTTTTGCATGACTAATAAGAATTTTATAAACCCCATGTTAAACAAAATGAACACATTGACACAAATTTTAGTTTTTACAAAAAAATACTGTTAATAGTTTATAATAACCAGTTCCATTTTAATTAAATTTTTAATATCTTTATTTTTTTTTCGTTTTATTTTAATTATTATTTAAAAACTTTTTAAGTTCATTGCCATTTTTTTCAAATCAATTTTGTAATTTTTATCATGCTATTGCATTTTAACTCATACTTTGACCACTTTCTTTAAAATATTTGGAAATATTAAAAAGAAACAATATTTTGCTTCCTATATAAATTAGATCTCAATCGAATGAAAGTGGATCTGCAAATCATGGCAATAGCAGTTCAAATATTAATAGTAGTTCGGTTAACGTTAGCGGTAGTAGTCATTCAAGTAATTCTAGCAAATCGCGTTCAGGAAAGAAACGTTCTTCATCTAGTATTAGTTCATCTTCAATATCGACATCCTCATCTACATCAAGTTCAGTCCAACCAAACCAACAACAACAAATAGGTTCTTCGCAAAATTTGAACTCTCAATCGTTTTCTTCAAACACTCAACGCCGAACATCAATGTCGCCGCAAAATAGTAATAGTAATAATAAATCTTTGGAGTCAAGTTCACCTCCACCTAAACAATCAAGATCCAGTAAGTCATCACATCATCAAAATCAGCAACCACAAATAATATCACGTCCATTACCACCAAATGATATGCAAATAAATAATTCACAAAAAAATAATTCAGAATCTGCAGGATCGTACGGAAGCAGTTCCAGTTCAGAAAACTTAAATCGCAATAAAAACAGCAATAACAATAATAATAATAACAGTAATAGTAATAATAATAATAATAGTAACAGAAATAATACTAAAAATATTGCTAATAATGATAGTAATAATAATATTAACGATTTTAATAATTTGAATAAAAACGACAACAACAATAATAACAGTAACAAAAATAACAGCAGTAATGATAGTAAAATTAATATTGGTAATAATATTAACGATAATAATAATAATCATAATAATAATAATAATAATAATATTAATATTAATAACGATAATGAAGATATCAGTAATAACAGAAATATGAAAAATAATAACGACAAAAATAGCATCAATAATAATATGGACGATAAAAATAATAGCAAAAATAATAATGAGAAAAATGGTAATAACAGCAATAACAAACATAATGTAGATAAAAGCATTCCTAGCAACATCGAATATAATAGTAAAAAAAATATTAGCAGCAACAGTGAAAACAGCAATGATCCGAAAAATTGCGACAGCACTGTTAGCAAAATTGTGGGTAACACCAGTAGTAATAATGATAAAATCAATATTAACGCAAGTGACGGTAATGATAAAAGTACTAATAATGACAACAATAGTAATAAAAGTAAACATAATGCCAACAGTGATCTTGTTGATAATATAAATAGAGAAGCTAAGGGTCATAGTAGTAATAATAATATTAATGATAATAATAGTAATACCAACAACACTAACAGCAATAGCAATGACGCCAGTGTCAATAGCAAAAATAACAATTATAAAAATAAGCATATTAACAATAGCAATATTAAAAATAATGATACTAATAACAATAACTTAAATAAAAATAATAATAATTGCGATAATATTACTGAAAATAGTAATAAAAATGGTAATGATAATTCCAAAAATAACGATGTTTCTAACAACAAAAAAGTTAATAATAGTAACATTTGCAACACTAACAAAAATGTTAACAACGATAATAATGCCAATACTATAAGCAATAGTAACGGCAACAGCAACGATGGCGTTAGTAGCGCTGCTAATGATAATACTAATACCAGTAACAGCAGTAAAAACATAAGATATAATAAAAATAATAATAATGATAACAACAATAAAAGTAGTAATAATAATAAAAATGTTTCTAATAACGGTAACAGTAATAAAAGCGGCAACAATAAAAATTCTAGTAGTCATACTTCGCATAATACTTCAAATATAACTAACATAAAACATTCAGAAACATTAAATACAGTTAATAGGCCTAACAAAAAATCATTACGTGGTCAGCAGTCTGAGGCCAAAAAATTGACAGATTCATCAGCTTCTAGCTCCACAATTAATGTCACTTCGTCGAACAATAATAATAATAATATTAATAACAATAATAACAATAACAATAACGCTAATAATAACAGTAATAATAATAATAACGACAGCAACAACAACAAAAGTAGCAGTAATAATAGCAATAACATTAAAAATAATAATAATAATAATAATAATAATAATATTAATAGTAATAATAATAATAATAATAACAATACTAATAATAATACTAATAATAATAATAATAATAATAATAATAATAATAATAGCAGTAGTAGTAGTAATAATAATAATAATAATAATAATAATAATAATAATAATAATAGTAATAATAATAACAATAATAATAGCAATGGTAATAATAATACTAACAACAATAATAGTAATGGTAATAATAATAATAATAATAATAATAATAATAATAACAATAACAATAAAAACAATAACAAAAATTGTAATAGTACTAGTAATAATAAGAATAATAATAATAGTAATAATAATAATAATAGTAATAATAGTAACAATAAAAATAATAATAGCAACAACAATAATAATCATTCAAATTTAACGCAATGCACTAATGACGATAATGTAACAAATAATTCCAGAACACCTGATAGTGGTAATTACTCAAATACTAGTCTATCACAAGCGAGCCTGTCTACAAGTTCGAGTTCTTTAAACAATGGTGGTCTAAAATTTTCTTATGAACCTCAAATAAATAGTGGGACACAATCATCAGCTTTAAGTCCGCCCATAGTTGATACGAATATAGGAGCTGTTATTAAAGATTCTCCCCAAAGTTCTCCTAGTTCAGAGTCAGGCTCAACAGCAAGTCGAAAACGTGGGCGCAAGTCGGGTGAAATAAGAAATAGCGCGATGCCAGTGAATAGTGTTAACGGGCCCATACCAATGGTACTAGACAGTAAATCAGATGGTATTAAACAAGAAAATAAGATATTGCAAAATGGTACGAGTACAACAGCAACTGCCAATTCTTCAAGTTCTTCAAATAGTTTAAATACTGCTCATCACATGCTTGGTAATCAAATAAATCCAAGTAGTAGTATGGCACAAAAAATGAGTGATATGGTTCATATGGAAATACAAGACCATAGTATATATTCACAAGACAATGGACCTCAGTTAATTGGAGTGCCGTTTCCAGGAAAGGTATTAAGTTTGAGTTTTGAAAATTTTTCTATTTCAACTGACTGTTTGTCTTAATTTGCAGCGGGCAACTCCAACTAATCAAACCCAAAATTCCAGTACAAATCCATTAACTTCTATGTTAACTGGAACAGCTACCTCAACTCCAAGTGGCAATACACCACAAAGTTTAGAACAATTACTAGAACGACAATGGGAACAAGGCTCCCAATTTTTAATGGAACAAGCTCAACATTTTGATAGTAAATATTTATTTTTGAATACTTTTTTCTTTATCCGAAGACATCGAAATAATAAATAATTATAATGTCTTTTGTGTAACTTATTTCTTAAATTATTATATTATTTTTAGTTGCTTCACTTTTGTCATGTTTACATCAGTTACGTACGGAAAATATTCGCTTAGAAGAACATGTTAATAGTTTGATAGCAAGACGAGATCATTTACTAGCAGTCAATGCTAGACTGGCAATACCTCTGACATCAAACAATACGCAAAATCAAGGTAAGATTGGCTATAATAAAAATAAAAAAAAATTACTAATTTATATTAAGAATTGACGAATTTTTTTTCAAGTAATTAGTTTTTGCTATGTAATACTGTCGCTTATATTATTCTTTATTCTAAAATGTTGAGGATTAACTAAATTATGTAACTTTTAAAAAATCGCTTTTATTGTTTTGTTTTTTCGTTGTAAGTGATTTTTCTAAATAGGTGATTGGAAATTTGAAAAATGATGGCAATTATATAACTTATTTAATTTTTTAAATATAAGTATTGTTATATTAATTTTTCTAATTTTGCTGAACAACTTAGAAAAACCGATTTTATTTCAAATCATATCGCAATGGGCATCAAAAGTTTTTTGTAAAAAATTTAATTTTCAAAAATGTTCAGTAAAAAGCGAAAAACTTCGATTGGAGCTTATGCAAAATTATACTTAGTAGAAAATTTGGTGACTTGATATATATTTGAAGATCAATTTTTTTTAAATAATCTTTATTAATTATTATTTGAACAAAAAAAAAAGTCTGACAACATATTTGTTAATTTTATTTACTTTTTGGTTGTTATTTAATATTTTTCATTCGTAAAATCGTTGATGAAATCAACATTTCAGCATTTAATTTTTTATTACGAAATTCAATCCTTTAATTTTTAATATACATTGTATATACACTTATTATAAAGAAAAAAGAAACACTTAGAAAATTTTCGTAGAAATTAAAAAGAAATATTGAAATAAATTCAACAGGTGCAGATGTTGCACCAACAAACATGCCACCTACTGGTGGTCCTGGTGGAGGAGGTGGTGGTGGAGCTGGTTCATCATCATCAACTTCATCATCGTCATCTTCCAATCGAGGAACAAGAAATCCTCAATCTCAAACGCCACAACAACAGCTACAGGCCCAATCTGCATCGTCTCAACCACCACAAATAGTCGAAAATGGAATTGATTTTAGACATACCTCATCGCATACGAGTGGAGCGCCCTCAGTTGGCAGTTCGAGTGCGATAAGGTAAAAAAAAATTTTCAAATTAAAATAAAAATTTATATATACATATATTCATATGAAAAAGTTTCGGAAACATATTTCAATTCTTCTTAAATTAAAATATTACTTATTTTTAAATTTTTTAATTTATTTCTTTATAAAATTTACTTCCTATAAAATATTCACTCTTCGTCCAAAATTTTTTCTGTTAAAGACGGAATTTCACTTGTTATTTGTTTGGTCACTTTGCACTATTTATTATACTTATATAATTTTTAAAGCTGAACTATATTTCTGATCATTCCACACAAAAAGGCACTTTTTTTGGAATATTAAAGTGATAAAATTATTCATTTACAATTTTACGTTTTAGTATTATCTTTAGAAGAAGTTAAGCAAATTGTTATAGATTGTGTCTTAAGATGTAGTTATTACATGAAGTAAATTCAATATATTTTAATATTTGTAGTTTTAAATAACAGTAATAATTTAATGAATTTTTTTTTAAATTTTTTGAGCTATGTTTATCATTATTTATTAAATTAAGCATTGAGAGTATGTTAATAGATTGAACTTCATTTAAAACTATAGATAATGAGAAAAATTAAATCTAAAAAACTTTTGACAAACTCAAAAAAATTTGTTTTAGGGAATGAAAATATTAAAAAATCTAAGGAAAATAATTTTGTATTTTTGATTTTCATTAATTATTTAGAAACTATTTTCTAAATTAACATTTGGTATAGCTTTAATTAAAATCACAAAATTGAATTATGCAATTCAATTTGGAAAAGTAAACTTCCGTCTTAACCCTTTAAATTTAGCAAATTCCCGATATCTAATTTGTTTTTAGTTTCCTCACACTCATAACAACATTAAATTTTCATTTATTTTACTAAAATATTGATAAAATTATATTAAATATATTAAGCTGTTTGTTGTTTCATACTTTGTACAAAAATAAAACAATTTGGCAATCACAATTTTTACTTATTTTTGTCCTCTTTTTCTTGTAATTTTTTTGTTCTTTTTTTAATTTGTTTCTTTTTTTGTGTTCTCGTACATTGAAAAAAATTAAAAAAAAAAAACCCTAAAAAAATAAAACAATGGCCCAAAATTACTTCATTCATATGTTAAAATCCTTCACCGTCATTTAATAAAATAAATAAAATAAAATTTAGACATTCATCAATATATACTTCAAACTATTTAAATTCGTCTATTAATAATGCTATAAATAATAACAGTAATACTAATAATAATAATCAAAACAATATCAACAATATTAATAACAACAATGTTAATAATAATCGAAATAACAATAATCGTAATAACACTCATAATAATAGCAATTTTAGCAATAACAGTAATAGTCAAAATAATAATCGCAATTATAATAATGATAATAATAATGATAACAGCAATAATAGTAGCAACAATAATATTTCTAATACTGAAAATATGAATAATAATAATAACAATACCGATAACAATTATGATAATAGTAATATTATTAATAATAACAATAATAACATAAATATCGATAGTAACAGCAATAATGATAATAACAGCAAAAATAATATAGAAAATGTCAGTAAAAATAATAATTATAACAATGTAAATGTAAAAAATGATAACATGAATAGTAATAATATTCCATCATCATTGCTGCCACACCCTTTACATGTTAGTAGTGCTATCGGTGGCAGTAGTGTTGGTACTATTGGAGTCGGAGGATCTAACAATACTGGCATGAGCAACATTACAAATATAAATTCGAATAGCAATAACTCTATTAACATTTCTTCCGCATCTTCTTCAATAATTGGGCGAAGAGATCATCACCAAATAATGCAATCGAATTTATCATCAATAAATTTACAATCATCATCGCCAGAGCAATTGCTAATACGTAGTGGTCGAGCTACTGCCACTGGTATAACATCTAATATTAGCAGTAGCAATCTTAATGGTGGGCTTGGTGGTGGTAGTAGTAATGTTGACCGTTCAACTTCTTCCTATCATCATAACGCCGCCGCCTCACAGTCTCCATATAGCACTATACATCAGGTAGAATTATGTTTAGATATTTTTTTTTCAATAACTTTTTATTTAAATGTTTCTTTGTTATATTTAGTGTTGCTTTAGGAAAGTTTTGTAACATATAGCAATAAAACTAAAGTTTTGCTTGGTTTTTTCAATATAATTAGTTTCTTTTTTATTTGAAAAAATTACAGAAATTGTTTTAATATCATAATTAGTATTATATATTGGCTATTTTCACATATCGATTGTATGAATTTTATATAAATTCATTTACATATCTTGAGTTCCTTGATATAGTTGTATTTAATAATGTTTTAAGTGGAAAATATCAGTTTTTAAATAGAAAAACAATTTTGGTACCTATATAAAACATCTAAAGCAGAAGGAATCACTGATAAAGAAGGGGTTATTGTTAAAAAGTATTTATCTACTGAAAGCATTAAACTATGAGTTCTTTATAGTACGTATACGTTGTACATTATGATGAACTTTTTGATATATGATTTGATGTAGTAAATTTATATAATAAAGAAATATCCTATATGTAAGACATTTTTTCTTATTTTCTATTAAAAGTGGACAAATAAATAATAAGTCAGGGGATTAACTAATTATATTATAAAAATAATAAGCAAATTTTCATAAAAAATAAGGTACTAAATAGAAGCAAATAACAAAATTAAGTATGTATTTTTGATTGTTCTATATTACTTCACGCATATTAATTGTTTTGAACCATTTTATAAAATCATTGAATATATTTTTTTTTTACATTTACATCATTAAGTTGCATTAAATTCTCTTTGAAGGTTTCCCATTTTTTAATAAAATAAAGACCAGCATTTTTCCACATTACCTTTAACAAAATAATTGTGATATCATTGAATTATCACTATTTTGGCAAAATGAATAATTTTAAAATTCCATCAAGTACTACACAAGTTTTAAAGAAGCAGAATTGTTTGTTTGCCCATGAAAAAGAAAATTCAAAATATTTCTAGATAAGTTAATTTTTAATATCAATGCATAAAAAAGGACGCTTTAATTTTAATATTAATTGCTGTATATTTATTTCTATATTAAACCAAAAAAGAACTTATTACGAAAAACTCTTTTACTCAATATTCTTTTATATGATTTCAGTCACAACTAAGAAGAGACGATCATAAGAATAGCTGAAATTCATCATCAACTATTTTGATGCGACAAAATGAAATTGACAATTTGTCAAACAATTCCATGAATAACATTAGAAATAATAGTCAAGATGAAGGTGACATAAATGAATATGAAGATCATTATGAACAACATGGCAAGAAAAAACAACAAATTGCACTCGTAAATGTTTCACCTACATCTGTAACGTCATCTTCATTGCTATCATATAGGTATAATAAACCCCTAAAAAATGAGGAAAATTTTTTACAGAGAACTTATATTTTAAACGATAATTCAATAAAAGTATCAACATCATTTAACCATGAAATTCCGAATACAAATAAAGTTGATTCAAACATTCAAAAAGCAATGTCATCACTTAATTCCCACTTGAACAGAATGGCAACAGATAATAGTTATAGCTTAGAAAATGAAGAAATAGATACAAATAACTTTTCAAACTCAGAATTTTTTTTTGATTCAATGTTCGATTCGACAACAAAACCATTTAAATCAAATTTAGCAAATTCTATTACAAATATAACAACAAAAAAATCACCAAAGAATAATAACAAAACTACAATTAAAGGTAGTAGACCAGCAAAATTTTCTATTTCAACTAAATTTTTAAGGAAACCTAGATCAATGATTAACAAAAATTTGCAACAAAATCGTTTAAAATATTTAAAAAGTAATAATGGAATAGATATCAATGGGAATTGTTGTGATGATAACAGTTATAATGATGATGATGTTAATGCCAAATCAAAAGACTTCTCTATCGATTCACTTCTTCAGAAATGAAATTTTAAAATCTTTCAAAAAATTTGTAAAATCAGTTTAATCTTTGCAAAAAATTTATTTTATATTTATCAAAAATTTCTTAAAAATAATAATGTATATCAAAATATTTCATGTATTTAAAGAAATTATTATTAACCTCAAGTCTATTAATTTGATTTAAGATAATTTTATTTATAATTTTACTACAATTTTAAATGAAATCAAAAATCAGATCACTTATTTTTAATACTTTTCTTCTGACAAAAAAAATGTATTTTTAAAGCCAATTAAAATAATGTGCAAGTTGCCACAGGTTTTATGTCACAAGGCTGTAAAAAATTTTTTAACAATTTTCTCATATTTCGTTGAATGTTTTACATATATTTACATATTTCTCTTTAAAACAACAAAAACCAAAAGATTTTTCAATTTTAAAAAATTTAAATTTTATTTTTTATATCACAGATTTGAAAATATGATTCTTGAATATGATGTAAACATTTATTTTTAGTAAAAAAATATTTCTGAAGATATTATGAATCCGAAACTTACATCCTAATTATTATTTTTATATATATTTGGAAAAGTTTAGTAATATTTTTTCCTTTCATACTTTAAACCATATAATATGTACGTAATTAGTAAAACATACATAGAGTTTTACTATTCTAAAATTATATGTTGACTGATTTTCTTTTATCAAATGAAAATTTATATTTTTCAAAATTTAATAAATTAAAAATATTAAAAAAATTAGTATGTAAAATTTTAGCATCAATTTTTTTTGTCCTATAATTGATAAATTATATTTAATTATATAAGTAATTTAAAAAATTTAATTATATTTACGTGTATGCAATGCATTTATATAATTATGTGTGTACATACATAATTATATATATTACCTCTTAAATATTAATTTAAGTTGTATACTATTCTACTGAAATTAATTAGTTTAAGTTTTAATTTAAATAAATTAAGTAAAAAAAGGAAAAAAATTATTAGTAAGAAATTTAAAAATTATAAGTAAAGGTTAATAAAAAGTTGTATTTAAATAATTTTGTCGTTCAATACTATATGTATATATAGTATATAGTATATATACTATATACTATATATATATATATATATATATATAGTATATAGCATCTATATATATATCTATATATATATTAATATTATATACATATATTCATATATATATTATATACATATATACATATATGTGGATATTTGAAGTTGTTATATTGTTACGGTTGGAATAGAACAAAGACAGAAAATTTGACAAACTATACGGAACCGGGTTACAGTAAAAGCACTTTTTTATTCTGAGTTTGGGTAACGGTTTTTAATTTAATTATTGCTCTCTGAAATATTTTAATCAGTTTACACAACACAGGACAAAGTTTCACTTCTAAATGGTGGTAATTCAATTTCAAGTTCGTTTAAGCTTAAAGGAAAATTGAATATATTGAATAATGGTAGATTTTGTTGTATCAATCAACGCCTCTGAAGAGAATTCCTAATTTTTTTTCTAACTAATAATTTTGATAGGAGATATAGTACCAGGTTGACTTTATTCTATATAAGAAAAGTCAACATTGGGAGCTTGTTTATCAAAGCCCCTGACAACTCAAATATTCCTCCAGATCTTGATCTTGTTAACACCTTAGAATTCCTTCCGTTAAGAAATAAAACAATCACTCTAATAACATCTTTTCTAATACCACTGGCCACTTTGCCAGCTTCTTTTTCTTTTCAATACCGAAGTAACACTTTCTAAGTAGTTTTTTCGTAAAATTATATTGATCGCCATCCAATGGTCGAATAACTTGAAATTTAATATTTTAGTTTATAGAATTAACATTAAGTACAGCGGAAACTGAACACAATGCTTGTAATGCGTTATTACTAAAACTTCTTAGATTGAATCCAGGTTCTTCGATCTTTCAAAAAAAAAAGTCTTTAGGAATGTTACGATATTCAACTTGAATAATATTCTACACTCAAAATTCTCATTACTTACTTAAGCAAGCTGAATTCGTTAATGTTCTTTAAATCAAAGTGACCAAAATATTAAAAGAACTGCGTTAAAGAGAAAGGTAACATGATATGAAATAATTACGCTTTCCGAATAGAAGAATCAGTAGAGTATCCCACATATATCTACATATTTATATTTATATATATACGAGTATATAGTAATACAATAGAAAAATAAATGAATATTATTTAAAAATTTAGTTACAAAACAAACAAATCAATGTTAATTATCATACAAAATTTATAAATGTTATATGCAATATCATGACAAAAATACCATTTATATATTATCGATTGGTATTAATTTGAATGTTTTATGAATATGTATTTTATTGAATGATTTTACTAATCATAGAGAAGGGATCGTTAACGTAAAAGTTTCCGCATTTAAAAAATTTCATTAAATAAAGCAACTCTTGAGTTCATTTTATTTCTGATTTTTTCCAAAAAACACACTATATAAATTTTTTATTAATGCTCTGTAAAATTTTAATTTTCTTAAAAAAAAAGATTCACATAATAATACTTGTGAATGTAAGACACATGATAATACTAGTGAATCCACCAAACTGGAATTAAATTTTTGACTGAAAAATTATTTATTCAAAAGAATTTTTAAATAAATTATATATATATATAACTAAAAAAAGCAGTAGAAGATTAAAAACTACATGAATGAATGATCAAAACTGTATAAAAGTTTTGGTAATCAAAGAGGATTTTGAAGAAAAAAAGTGAAATTGTGTCATTTTCAAATCTATGTATATGGTATAAAAGATATTACGAAACAATATAAAAATATAAGCAACAAAAAAGTTTTTAGGTTTATTACTGCTATGGTTTTAAAGAAATTTGACTCCAAAATGTAAAAACTGATGAATAAAAGATAGAACAGTGAAGAAATTTTCTATTAGCAAAATGAAATATTAAGAATTATGAACGCAATGTAAAAATATGTGTTCAACTTAAAAATAATTTGCTACTTTTGTAACGGAAGTTGTAAGAAAAAAAAACTTATGTATATTAAAATTCACCTATTTAAAATTCCTATAGTGCGGAAACGTTTCCGATTCGACTCTATGTTTCAAACAAAAATTTTTCTCATTTTGGATCGTCCACTCGATAGCATATCTTTATTAATACATATTTAGAAAAAATATAAAAATAAAATAATTTAACATTTTACTTAGTTCAACATCAATTAAATTTCTAATCAAATCCATTTTGAACATAAATTACAGTAAAAGGTATGTGAGCAAACTTAGAGGACAGTTTTTTTTTTTATACCAAATAAAATTTAATAAAAAAATTTATTTAATTTATAGCTTGCGGCAAACAATAAAATTTACAAAAATTAATATCTATTAATAAAAATAGTAAAAAAAATAGTATTAAAATAAAATGCAATTATATACAAAATGCAGAAAAATCAACAAAATAAAATTTTATAAAAAACATAACATATTTGTCTCATTTCTTCAAAATTTTTTACATAACATAATTCTAATACTAGAAAAATCAACCATATAATGTATTTAATATTTTATATATATTTGCATATACATATTTATATAAAAAAAAATTAAAATGAATACAAAAATAAGAGTTTTATAACATTACGTATATTAAACAGAAAAGTGAGTGACTTAAAATTAACTGATGATATTACAAAGAAAAAAAAAAAAATAAATAATAAAATAAATATGGAAACAAATATACATTTAACGTTAGTAAATATTAATTAACAATATCAACAAAAATTAGAATTTTTAGCATTTTACCTCGTAAATTTGTAAATTCATAGCAGATAGTGTAAAACAAAAAAATTACAATAGCTACTTGTACAACAAAAATGATTTGTTTCGTTTTGTCTTAAGCGATATTAATAATTATAGTAATTTATATGAATATATATACATATATATATTCATATAAAATATATGTAAAATATATTCTTTAAAGAAAAGTAAGATATATAAAATATTTTAAAAGAAATAAAAATACAAAGTCATATAAAAAAAAGCTGTAATATCCCAATTTAGAATAATTTAAAAAAAAATCCAAAAGATAATTTTATGTTAAAAATTTTGAATAAAAACAGCTACATTATAAAATTAATAAAAAAAAACATAAAGGAAAAAATAACTAATATTGTTCAAATACATTCGAAATAACGATTAACTCTATATACCTTATTACTGATACACCAACCATGAATAAAAATAAAAAATGTGAATAGAAAACATTTAAAAAAATATATTATATATGTTTAAATATAATACATAATATTACTAATATGAATCGATATATACATATAAAAATATAAATTATGCATATACATATAATATATAAATAAATTTATAATTAAATAGTTTAATATATCTTGTAATAAATAATTAAAGATACTGTAAAAAAGAACAAACAAGGTAAAAAATTAAATAAAATTGATTTATGAAAATAAAAAAAAAAATACATATTGTATATTTTTAATACCCTTTTAATATTTAGAAAACTGTATTAGGATAATTTATGTAATAACTTTTGTCAGAATACGCCTTTCATAAAAGCACTATACATGTGACCACAAACAAATGTTTCTCATTTAAATTATTCATAAAAAGACTTAATTTTTCCCAATATAGCGAAATTAGTATGAGTAGCTCAGTTAAATCATATTAACTGTTTTGAGTTTACATGAACATGTAATAGTAAAAAATATGTTATGATTTCGCCATTTCGTTTTTATAAAAATCTAATAGTATTTTCTTATTATTCATAAATTTTTTCACTTAATTTCAAACCAAGGTCTTTATGATATAAGAGCGTCAACCAAAATTCAAACTTTTTGGCGTCAAGTTTACATTCTATATTTTACTAAGGATTTTGGTAAACAAAACTATTTTCGACAGTTAGAATACATTTTTGCTTTGGCTTTAAAATAGTGATGAATTTTAAAGTTCGTTTTTCAAAGACAACATAAATGAACTACATAAATTATTTGTAAAATAAATCGTCAAGTTGTCAAGTTGAAAAAAAATCAAAGTGTAAAATTAACATTCTTCCTTTAAAATTTTTAAAAACAAACAGTGCTGTATTGAGAATTTTCTTTTAATTAATTCCAATAAATGCACGCGCAATATAAAAAGAACTTTTAGAAGTAGTGTGAATAGATCTACAAAAAATTCAAAATTTTGTAAAACGGGAAATCATTTTCTTCACATCAAGCATTTTATACTAGTAACAATTATGCTATAAAAATTCTTTTGGAGAAAAGTAGAAAAAAATAAACAAAGTAATTTGCAAACAAATCAAGTTCAATGATTGGAATAATCACTTTCAAGTATTATTCGAGTAATTTATAATACTAGCAAAATTAGTTTATAATTAAATTTTCTACTTGAAAATCATTTACATAATTATTATGTAGAAAAACTTAATTTTATTTGGGGCCAAATTATATAACCTAGGTAACGTCTGAAACCTAGGTGTAAATTTCCAATAAACTTAATCTATGGTAAAAAAGGTTTAATCAAACAAAAAAAAAATTTTTTTTACTAGTTTTTTATTTCCAATTCAAATAAAGTCGAATAAAATTTATTCAAAAAAAGACAAAGAAAAACTAATAATGCATAAAAAAAGTATGCAGTACTATGTATATTAAATATAAGACTTACAATTAAAGGACAGATAATTCAGCTAGAATTTTAAATACATATTTGTCAAGTAGTGCTATATACAGCATACAGATATATATATATTAAATCGATTCAACGACTAAATTTGTTTTAAAAGCTGTATTTTCCTTTTCTAGTTCTATTGATATATTTGTTTCGAAACGTTGATGAATTAGAGGAAAATCCATTATATTCCTCGGATTAGATTCAACCCAAAATCGATCAAACTCGAAAAATAAATAACAATAGAAACGATGAAAATGTGTAATATTAATTGCACGTTTGCTAACGTTGTAGAAATGTGTTTTTGCTTTACCAGAATTTATTAATTTGTAAGCCATCGATGTTAAATTAATTCCAACTATAGCAAATGTATATCCATATGTAGGATGTAGTGAATGTGATAACACATGACGAGCGGCATCATTATATTCTCTTGCAAAATACAAAAGATTTTCGAGACCTAACATACCCATTCCGCGAAAATCAGTTTTTGGATCATCACCCTAAAATAAAAAAAAAATTAAAAATATATTTGCAATATTTCATAATATAATTTTGAATTTACTTGAAATCCTATTATTTGCCATTGCTTTGTTATACGAGATTCTAAGCGATTATTTGGCATTAATAGTGCCCATAAATCAGATAATTTTCTTTCATGATCTAAATTTTCACAGTCATATTGTGTTGTTCTTAATCGTTCTATTTCAAATAAGAGTTTTCTGTAACCCCAAATTTGTTCAACACATTGACCAAATAATCTACCAAAATCTGGATGCACCTGTGGTTTAATTCTTTTAGCTTGCATAACCACTTTAACAGCTCTTTTCACTAATACATTAAACTCCTCAAAATTACAGTATTCCACTTGTAAATCTAATTCACGAGAGATAATCTTAATAGCTGGGAATTTCGATTGCTGAAGGGATCTTTCAACTTGTCTAGTGCGATGAGAACCTAATTTCGCTCCTATGAATAAAAAATATTTAGTTCATTTAAATGAAAAAAAAAAAATAAAATAATTTATTTCTTACCGTAGCACAGCCTTTGTAATTCACATAATCTAGTGAGTTGATGAAGAAACCATTTAATAAATGGTCTTAAATAATAATAAATTAATGGGGCTATATTTGATATTGTGAAAAGCAACATGGTTTCAGTATATAAGATTCTGATTAAATAAGATTATTACGAATTTTCTTGAATATGAAATTAAAATTATCGAGTACTATGGAAACTTTCAAAACTTACGATGAATCAATAAATTGATTTTATTTTAAAATTTTTTTAACATAATGATTTGCTCATTACATATGTATTATAAAAAAGTTTACAAGGTTAGTGAATTATCATAATTTTTAAACATGTTATACACAACTTTTGAATTTAAATAATAAGTGCTATTTAAAGGAAAATAAATTGATGATATAATTGACTCCGAAATACTTAAACTTCTAACTATAGAATAATGATTTACTACACTGAGATAAATGTTTTCCTCACGCAAACTTTTTTTCTTTTTTTCCATTTATTGTAAACAAAACTGCAAATGTCAAAGTCATTACTGAAAGTCTAATTTTGTGGATTTGTGGAACGAATTTAGCGACATCTACAAATCATATGTAAACAACATTTTTTATAAGTGAAAAGTTCAATAAATGTCAAACGTTTTGCTTTTTAACCGTTAGTCGTCTAGGAAAAATTGAAAAATTTTACTTTCAAAAATTTTAAAATATTTTTAATAAATAAAAAAATAATAAATAAATAAAAATTTTTAATGTAAATAAAGAGTATAACAATTTAAAATAAATTTGAAATTTGTTATTGTAGTTATAATCACTACAGTTATATAAGGTACATAAATAAAATGTGCTGTAATATTCGAACAAAGTTTGGCTACAGTAAAATAAATTTACATTATTTAAAATAGTACGCAATGAAATGTATTACAGGTAAATATCAAATAATATTTATTAATTTGTTAAAATATTTTGTTTTAATATCAGAATTAAAAATAAAAGAGCATTGCTGTGTTTATAATTAGATTTTCTCAAATGTGCAAATTTTAGGTTATGTCAGTGTTGCAACAAACAAACGATATATATGTACATAAATCTTCCTTCTATTCAGGACAATTCAATCAGTTATATAAGGATAATCACCATAGATCAAAGAATACATAATTATTTTTACATTTCATATTTATTTTATATATCATATATATTATAAGGTATATATTACAATTTTTATACAATAACATAATATATACCAAGTAAATCAATTAAAAATCCTAAAAATATAACTATTATATTAATCAAAACCCGAATAATTAGAGAAAACCAGGATATTAGGAATTGATAATCATTTCTCTCTTCAAATTATAATGGTACTCGAATTAATTAAAAACTGGTTTTGTATTATTGTTATCAATATCAATATTACGATTATTGATTGCACCAGAAATTTATTTTCTTAAACTATACTACCGATATTAATATGGTCCTATATGTGTATCTATCTCATACAATTAATCTATCTTACATAATTAATTTCATTGATTCAAATGGACGACTTTAAAAAATATAAAAAAATTTTAAAATTATCATTATATATAGAACCTTTTTTGTACTTTATTTTACATTTCTATATAGAAATCAATATTTCCATTTAATAAAGAAAAATAAAAAAAAATACCAAGTATTATTACAAGCACCATATTGGAATTATATTAAATACTTGTATGTACCAACATAATATATACAATAAACGAAATTTTATTGGCTGGAAAAAAAAATTTACAAAACTCCGCCCAATAGCAGTCTGTTATAATTTTATTTCTATTTATTCTTTCCCTTCAATACAATATTAAATGTTAAGGATAAGGGAAAAAGCACAAAAGAATAAAAATAAAAATTTCAAATTATCCTTTCATTTTATACGAAAAATAATAAAAGTGATATAATAAAGGATCCTTGAAATTTCATTTGAATGTTCACAATATTATATATAGGTACATTTTATATATTACAGTTTGTATAAGGGTATATTTATTCATATATACATCTTGTATATTGTAAATAAGACCATTATTGAAAAAAAATGAACTGATATATTGGTGATGTTAGTGATACTTCCCTTAAAGATGAATTGCATTTAAATATATTTATCAGTTTAAAGTGAACAATAGATCGGTTCGGTTTCATGAAAAAAAAAAACAGAGAAAAAGGATCAATTATATAGCGGATATACAAAAATTAAATATACAAATTATGTGAATTTATAAAATAAAAATTTATAATTTAATTATATTTTTATAATTCTTATAATTCTAAATTATTTAATAAAATTTAAAGTGATTTTATTGGAGCATATAATTAGTGAACAATTAATAATATTATATTTATACATATATATATATACATGTATATAATATTATATGTTTACAATTAAAATTTCACGGAAGTAAATATTTATCCGGCTATTATATTATGAATACAATAATATTAAAGGAGGTGTTTATAAATGTTAAAAGGAAGTCGTGTGTTCCTATTTAAATATTTTGGTCACGTGTTAGCACGACGTTCTCAATTATACGCCATCACTTTATAATTCAATTGGAATTAAGTGATTTAATGATAAAAATTATAATATAAACATTAATTTAATTATGGGTATTAGGTGAAAAAAAAAATATACAAAATTAAATAGGATAATTGATTTTGTATCTAAACAAAACAAACAATTTGAAAAAGAAAGAAATCAAGTGAGTTTTATAAATATTTAATATTAATAAATAAAATCAACAAATTCAAAAGGATATTAAATAATCGAGTATAATTGTAAATGATAAAAAAAAAAATTGGAAATAAAAAATCTTCCTCCCCAGAACCAAAATCCTTTCGAATTTTTAAAGCGATGCACTTTTTGCCAAACTATAAACTTGGAAATATAAAAAAAAATCATTGCCTTTATTGGTTCTTCTTAATAAATTTTATATAAAAATTTATTATAAATTTTACATAACATATTATGTCATATATATCATAAGAGTCAGGTTCTGTAGAGAAATGAAAGAGACTTCGATGAACCTTCTTGGTGAGTTTGTTGCGTTGATTCACTGAATGAGAAACCTATTGGTGGTTGCATCGTCATAACAAAAGATCTGCGAGAAATCGATCCCCACAAAATAGTCTCGAGGCAGAGCTTTCAGCGTGATAGGTCGGAGGGAGGGGGTATGATCCAATTGTTGGGTCTCGGTGCATTGTTGGGTCGCCTCTAGTCTAGTCTAATCTAATCTACATAATATATCGCTTTTAATTACTCGATTTCAAATTTCTTAAATATGTGAAATAGAAAACTTCCCTCAAATTTGATTAAGTAAAATAAATTTTGGTTATTGTTGCTTATATGGTGCATGAGCAGAAGCTGACAAGAAATGAATGCAGAAAACCAAAGCTGATTTTCTTCTATTCAATAGAAAAAATTTAAAATACAGTACACTAATTATTATTTGTTTTAGCTTGAATATTCTGAATTGAATAAAAAATTTAGAATAATCCCTAAATGTATGTAATTTACAATTTTAAAAAAATTGTAATTGTAATATTATTCTTATATTAAAAACATCAAATTAAAATCAAAATTAATAATTAAGGGGAGCATTTTTTTTCCATACTCATTTTTCCATCCATTGGGAACATCAGGATTTTCTACTTGACTTTAGAATCTGCTACGGCAGATTTTTCCTTTATATTAAAATAAAATTTTGATGGTTATTGATAATTATTAGTAATTTGTGTATATTTTTGTTGGTAATTGGTATTCAGTATCGAATATTGTGCATAAATGGACAATTATTTTTTATATAAACATTTTAATTATATTAAATATAATTTCTACATATAATGATCTGGTCTGAGAAAGCACATTTGAACCCGAGACTCTTTAGTTGTCAAAATCGCTCCATTCATTAGTCAGACAAGGAGAGCATATTACGTTTAGTAAATTAATAGAAATGTTTATTAAAAAAATTTTCTCTTTTATACGCGCTATGATGTCAATTTCACTTATATACAATGACAAAAAAAAAATTTTTTTTTTAAATGTTCCAGATGTTCATTTCTCAAAATCACTTTTTTATGGCCTTTACATAATATAAATTAAAAATATTATAGGTACTTAACATAAAAATTTAATTATTATCAGAAAACAAAAATAAAAATGTTAATGTCAAAATCTTTTTGAAGAATTAATCCTATTTAACAAGAAAATCAATTTAATTTTTATGTTATGAAAAATTTAATATTGAATATTGAACATTATTAATTCCCTAAAATATAATTATACACCTGGATATTTTCCCTAAATTGTTATTGTACATAATAATATATAAGATTATAAATTTTGTTATATTTTGTAAGTACATGTAGATATCTAAAGGCCCACAATTATAAATTCTTAACACTGAGTAAACAAACAAGTATATTTGACACCCTCAATATAATGCAAATAATTCTGTTATAATATAATAAAAATGTTATCATTTACTCGTATACGATTTTTACATGTTTTCTTGTATACTATAGGTTATACATTAAATGTAATTATTATTTTTTATATCATTGATTAAATATTTATTTAAAATATGTTTATTAAACACTTGAAATATCAACGAAAATCATGGTAATTAATAATTTTTTTTTTTTTATTTTCAGTTCAATTTTTTGTTATTGTAATACACAACAAATATAGTATAATAGTGAATTATTCGAATTCACGAATTCTGAATTTTGTAATTGGATAATAAAATATTTTAAGAAAAATCCCCTAATAAATGTTTATACGCAACAGTTTTAATCTAATGTGGTCATATACCAAGTATTAAGAATTTCATTGTTGAATTTCAAACTGAATGTATATCTACCTACTTCAGTAATATAATAAAGGACACGTGCAATATAACAATACTTAATAATATTATAATAACTGTAAAAGTATATGATTATTTAGAGTATAAAAGTCAAGTTTTAGTTGTATTAATAAGATCAAATTATAATTTTAGAAATTATTTTTAAAAAAAAATTGATTTTATCGAGAAATTATTTAATAAAAAAAATAAAAGGGTTTTTTTTGGAAAACAAACTTAAATTTTTTGTGTCCTATTTGGACTCACTTTATAAATTCCAAAATCATATATAGAGAAAGCAAAAGAACTCGCTAATTACTCTGTACGAGCAGATTTGCTCTTTTGAGAATGAATAAATAATAAATAAATAAAGTAAAAAAATAAATAACTTTATTAAATAATTAGAAAAATAATATAAACATGTAAAACTAAAAATTAAAAATTAAAATATTCAATTTAAACCAAAGAAAAGGAAAATATTCTAGTCAAGGAAAAAATTTTTTTTTTTATAGAAAATCTGTGATAATTTAATATACTTAGTGCATATAATTTTATTTTTTAAAAAAAAATAAATTCAATTAAAAACCAAAAATTTTAAAATTTACGCATAATTAATAAAAAAATAAAAATGTTTTCATCAATGGATAATTTTGATTTTGAAACATCAATGGTACGTCATTTTTTTGAAGGATCACATGCAACAAATGGTTCAAATTCTAGTTCAGATTTCTTTTTTGCTGATGAAAATAGTTCTGATACAGATAATTATAGTAGTGGTTTTAATAGTGATCAAGAAAATACTGAAGAGAAAAGGTAAGATTTAAAATTTTTAAAAAATTTATTTAGTAGCTTCCTCTATTTAAATTGATTATATATAAATTTGAATTTAATATAAAATTAGTAAATGAGGCGTTTTATATAGTTATAAAGAGACTGTCCTGGATGACTATTAAAATATTTAGTGTTTGTTGTATTGTAAATCAATTCAAGGGACTGAATTCAGTAGGCTGTAACTCGCTTTATTAGGCTGTAACTCGGGGGTTAAGTCTTTAGTTAGAAGTAGAATTGCTTAGGAGGTTTTGTCATTTTCAGTGTTTTATTTAAAATTCGAGTTCATATACCTCAAATGATTCTGAAATTATGAGTCAATTTTTAAAACAAGATCTTTTAGGGTCAAATTAATCCCGAAACGCTTCAAGATGAAATTCATCCCACTTCGGCTTCTTTTTACTATATATGAGCTTCCCTTACATTTCATAAATAATATTATTGTTAAATAGAACTATAAAACGAACTACAGACGAAATATTTCAAAAGATATTAAAACACCATAATGATAATATGGTGTTTTTGTAATAATTATTTGATCGTATTCTTATAAAAATTAGAAAGTTGTTTTTGTAATAATTATTTGATCGTATTCTTATCAAAATTAGAATAAATTTTAAAATTTAAAGTAAGTAAAATTAAATACAAGTAATAAACTATATTACTGCCCAACTCCCATGGAGATATTTCCAGACTTATACTTGAAACTTGGGGATATTATAAAGGCGGAAGCGCGGGGAGGCTACAATAAGTTGTGACCTGGGCGATATCCTTTTCCCCCCACTTATATATAATTAACTTTTATTTATTGTTTTTCTTTTTATATAAAAAATAATATTTTTTTTTTTTATTATAGGACACCAAAGAGTCGTCGTTTAAAATGTGCATCACAACAAGCTCAACAAAGACAAGCAGCAAATTTAAGAGAAAGAAGACGTATGCAAAGTATAAATGAAGCATTTGAAGGTTTAAGATCACATATACCAACATTACCATATGAGAAACGTTTAAGTAAAGTTGATACATTAAAATTAGCAATTGGTTATATAGCATTTTTAAGTGATATTGTACGTAAAGATAAAAATGGTAATGATACAGGATTAAGTGGATTACAAAGAAATCAAATTAAAGAGCCACCAAAGAAAATTATTTTAAGAGATCGAAGTAAGTATTATAAATTAAGAAATCATATATATATCTACAAGTACAAAAATGCGATATAGAATTTTAATAAAAAGAGAAACTTACAATTGGAAATAATATTTCCGTTTACCGACCTTAGCTTGAGAAGCCATCTTGATCTTATATTAAATTAGTAAATAATCTGGCAACAATATTTGCCTAATGTATTTTTCCAAATTAGGTATATTAGAATCTAAATTCAAAATAAAAGTCAACTAGAAAATCATTGAAATCACTTATTGTTGATTTTATTCTGAACAACTTTCTATCTAACTAGAAATTAGATTTGTTTCTGGTATTATGACCCTGAATATTAATCATTCTATTATTTTGAAAGCTGTTATCAACATCAAATGTTATCTGTGTATTTTCTGGTTTTTTGTACACCATATCCAATTTTTTGTAATATCCGTCGGATCGCTCCACTCCATCTGGGGTTAAGGTAGACTCTATATTTGGAATATTATGTGAATGACGAATATATTGTGTAAAGAGCTTCAGTTTTTATTAACAAAATTTCTAATATATGACGAAGAATGAACACATATATGGTGAATATGATCGGCACATTTAATTATATGAAAATTTTGTTGATCTGTACACTTTTTTGCCAATTAATATCTTCCTTATTGTAACTCTAAATTAACTTGTATAGTTGTATACTTCTTTGTGATTATCAGGAACTTGCAGAATCCGCTAATATATGATAATAAGCTGTAAAGAAAAACTTTAAACGCGTTTTCTATGGCTAAACGAGACGAGATAGAATGATTCTAAATATCTTATTCAAAAAAGTTAAAAACAAAATAATATTTTTTATTCTACTGTGCGTCTGGTGGTGTGCATCCGTATTGGAAATATATACATAAGGTGTAAAACACAGTTTTAATTACAGTACAATTTAATGGTTATAAATAATGAAATAGTTAAATTTTTTTGTATAATTTTTCATTTATTAATTCAAATACAAAATCACAATTTTTATGTATAATTTACTCAGTTTATTTTTTTCCTTGGAGCAAATAAATTTTATTTAATTATGCAAGAGTATTTTTTTCATTTTTTCCATTTAATTCAAACTTTTCACTCATAATTTATACATAAATTATATACAAATTATAACAATCATTCTCTTATATAATATTATGCAAGAGTCTATATAAACATCTCAATTCTTGTATAACAATTTGATAGTAAATTTCTAAACGTATATTAAGGGATGACCGTCGCTTTCGTCGCTTTAGCTTGAGTAAAAAAAACACTAAACATTTGATAAATATTATGTAAATTAGATGGAATCCCAGAGAGAGCTATATGTCCTAATAAAATTATTATATAAAATATATTTTTATTGTATATTTTGACTTATTTAATTTTATTATTAAGATAACCAAAAAAAAAAAAAAACAAAAAAAAAAAAACTCATTAAAATTCTGTTAAGAAAAAACCAAAATCAACTCCACACTAACACTAATTTTATTTGAATCAAATTTACTACAATATGTGAGCATAACCAACACGAATCGTTCAGTTCTATATGGAATTTTATTATCTAAACTACATTTCTAACTAAAATATTTCATTGACATTTTAGGTTTCAAACAGTTTTGTGAACTCTATGAATACCGTAACGATTCATACCATATACATTATTACATTTACAAAAGAATAATTTCCATTAGGGGTAAAACACATATATCACATTTTCACAAAAAAGTCCTGAAAACTACAACTAGGTATATGCACATTATTAAGCTAGGGTTCCGAAAATATCATTTGCACTATGAATTGAAGAGAAGATTCTTCAAAAATTCATCCTTTTTTTTCTGTTGTGTTGTTTTTTTTTTTAATTGTGTCTTGATTAACCAAAAACCGGAACTAATCTAATTTTTTTTTTTTTGCTTAATTCTTCTATTATTTCAATATTTCGATCATTTTTTTTTTTTTGATATATCATGCACTATTGCATGTTATTTACCTTCAATAATTCTATTTAGATTCTCTCCTTTTTTTAATAAATTTATAGAGAATCTACTAATAACTTGATTACATATGCAGTTCCTTTCATTTATCGGTTCCATATATTATGTGCTTATCTCTAGTGCCAATATTATAGTGAAATTCATTTTAAAAGAATTTTTTTTTAACCCTAAAGTGTTATTATTAACCCTAATCAGTTTGCATTTATGTAAAAATTTTCTCTAGTTTAACTCAAATATGGTCAAGTATTCTATTTGGACTTAGTTTATTTTTAGAAATTTTGCCATTTGGAAGGTTACAATGCAATGAAGCTGGGAATGATTTTTTTCTATACCCAATACTTTTGTACAATCGTGATATAAAGTAAGTATAGAGTGTTTTTGGTCGCTTATCTGTAAAAATTGAGAAAGGGTTAAACCATTAAAAAAGCTGCTAATTTGAGCTTTCTTTCACTCTTCAAAACTCTCCAAAACCATAGTAAGTTGTCCAAAATGCTTTATAAAATTATTTTATCATTATATTATTTCCAGAGATATTTTAAGTTTTGCTCTATCACACTCAGTTTACAGGGTGCAAAAACTAAAAAAATATCGCAAAAACTCCATCGAATTCAGGGAAATTACATAATTAGTGAGTAAGCTTACGTACTACTGGTATCAATGGATTTTGTTTATTTAAAAGTGAGCCTGCGGAGGTTGCGTTATAGACAACATCGTTAACCTGTCATGATTGAAATACTTTAATGTATATGTATGCAGATTTAACAAGATTGCGCTTAATGCCACATAGCCGCCGCAACCATTAATTTAATGGAAATTCTGCGATAAATTGGTTTTGATTAAGATAGAACTTTGCTGGCCGTGCAATTAAACATGATAATCTACATTACGATAGTATTTTGTCTCCAACTACTACAATATAAAATTTTTGATAAGGAAATCTATTTCACTTACTTACTTGTACAAGAAGGTTTAAATAATATTTAAGCAATCCATGGATATATTCGTAGTCATGAATATTTCCAAATTTATAATAATAGCATTAAAAACTGCTATTATTATGAATTTGACTGCAAAAAAAAAAAATTCAGTTAATATGAAATGAACGAGTGTGAGGGGAAAAGTGTGAAATTTGTAATTTGTTACGAACAGCCGGATGGTTAAATTAAATGTTTTTGAATTTACAAAAAAATTTACAAAAAAATCATAGAAATTATGATGGATTTGAAATATCACTATGAATGAAAAAAAAAAATTATATTTTTGATTAAGTTTTTAAGAGAAAGAGAGGTGATCTTGCGTAATTTTAAGGACATACACATTTACACACTTATGCATTTCTGGATTAATGACAATCGAATTTGATTTAATCAGTATAATAACAAATTGTCATGCATAATTTTGAATTGAAGGAGCAAAATATTACTTCATAAATTACAAAATAATCGTAAATTTTAAGGGCCTATTAGAAATCCAAAAGAGTAATTTCTTGTTTTTGAAATTGAAGATTAAATAAATGTTAACATTAGAAATTTGATTAAAAGTACGGTCAGTTTCTTGTATATAGTAGATATTTGCAGTCTATTGGTAATTTTGAAAAAAAAAGAATGCAGTCTATTGGTAAATTGTAAAAAAAAATTGAATTTTATTAAAGATCTATTGCGCCCCGCCTTCTCCGCGAGCAGTAGTCTATTGTGATCCACCCAACTATCCTTTCTCGTATAGATCAATGCTCCACACTCAATGAGCAAGTGTATTGGCGTCTCGTTCCGTTTCGCCGCCGTACTTGCAAGACTTATCCGTCCCTAAACCCAGTTTGCTTAGGTATTTCTTATAAACTTGCAATGTCCTCCCAAGAAACCCGTCAGAACTGTCACATTATTCCTCGGCATCTTTTATAATCGCTTTAAAGATTACGATGTCCCAGATGTGCCTCTCCATAAATTCGGCCTTTTCTCCAGCATTCTGCTTCTTAGTACCTAACAAATTTTTTCTTGGTTCAATCAAAACTAAACTACAAATTCAAAATGTTTTTATTTAAAAATATTAATTACATAGTTCTAATCACGCATATTTTCTAAAAAAAAAATTCCTACTGCACCATCATACAATAAGTAAAATGTTTCATATTGTTCCATATTGCATATTGCGTGAATTATCATTAAATTTTATACGATTTTATTTTGGATTTAATTATTATACAATATGACAGATTTGAATTTTTAAATGTAAATGTATATTGTATATAAGACAAGGAGAAAATTTTTTTAATGGGAAATAAAGTGAGTATAAAAATGGGCGTTTAAAATTTTTGACCAGGTGATTGATCATGTCATATTTTAACATTTTATATAAAAATGTTACAAGTTATCTTCATTTATTCTTGCAAAATTATTAATTTTCATAAATTTTATCTATAATATATTTTTTCTCCCTTAAAATAAATTTTTATTTTATAATATTTTTTTTTGAAATAAATTATTTTTTTCGAATCTTATTTAATGCGGTTTACATATTCGTATCATGTAAACGTCATATGTAAAAAATAAAAATTGCATGTTATTACAAAATTATATTTTGTTACAGTTGAATGGATTTCGATTTTAATGTACCTATATGTATGTATATATACCGGTAATATTTGTATATAGTATATCTTCGTATACATTACTGATAAATAATTGTAATGACTAATCATAAAATTAAAAATTTTAATTATTTTGCGCTATCTTGCCTTGCTTTCCTTTTAAATAATGAAAATACTCTAAACTACGGATTAGTTGAAATAGAATTTTGTTCTATGAGAAAAACGGGTTATATGTAGTGTACTTGTGGGAGTGTATAAGCCTATCAACCTATAAATTAACATATAAATTTGAACTAGCATTAAAAAACGTGAAGATTATACAGGAATGATTGCCGAATAGGTTCCATTTACTCTAGTATATGCCGTACCTTTGAAAATTGACACGCATTGCTTATGTTTAAATTTAGAATTATTTTAATAAATTAAATACTAACATACCAAATGAAGCCCAAATATTTAATAATATTTTACAATTCCAAAATTCAGCAAAAAATTTGAGTCGTCGAACAATTTTCTTAATACTATTCCTCTTCCTTACAATTCACTTAAATTCGCAAGTTATCGTTCCTACTATAATAAGTTCAGAATTAGATTAGAGCTAAAATTTTTCAAATACATACTTTTAATATTGTTTTGGATTAATTGGAAAATTATTATGGTTGTATAATTAACAATATGGAATATAAGTTTTAAGAAATAGTTAAAATAGTTTTGTGTATACATACTCGTATGCATACTTTAACCAAACGTTATCATTTCGTTTTTCAACTTACAAATATAATTATAAGTTAAAAAGTTATAAATACTTGTATAAAATTTTAAGAAGAAAAATTACAAGAATTACAATATATATAGATTTTACATATACAGGTGTTCAATTTAATTCTACACGCACTTTTTTATATATAGTTGGGTTCCATATATATGCACTTATTATAATATTATGTTATGTACATAACCTAACATTATTGTCTATTGTTGGTCTATTTAAAACTAAAATTATTACTAAATTGTTTTTAATATTAAATTATATATAATTTTCAGAATAATTATTAGGTTTTGAAAATAAAAAAATATTTTTTTCACAAATGCATATTGTTCATTTTGCTCTCTAAGCAAAAGTATATTGTTCCTATTCTTAATGCCCCCTCCATTTTGCTTTCTAAGTGGATTTTTAAATATAAACACTTACTAAACTTTTACAAATTCGTTTGGAAAATTATCAGTCTTATAAAAACAAAACTTCAATTTCGATTTTGTTAATAAAAGTTTGAGATATTAATTAGGTACAAAATTTTTAGACCAGCATTTTTGGTATTTGCATACAAATTATCGAAACTTTTCGAGTATTACCAGGCTTATTAAGAAATTCGCCTGTTTTATTTAGTATACTCTACGCCTACTAAAACATAATTTGTATACTATATCTCTAAGAATCGATAATATTCCCAAATCACATTGTGATAGAATAGACGCAACCGAATGTATAAAATAATAGAGTATAATTCTCTTTTCCACCCTCCCTTTGGTGTTATTTGGAAAAATTTGTTGTTCTTTTTACATTTTACATAATAACCACAATATAACACTTTTTGATAGAAAAAATTTATATCTTCAATATAAATTATTTTTCAAATTTATAAAATTTTTTTTTTTTATATAATTTCAAGGTATAGGTATGACACATTCACTGTCTTGGCATAGAAAAGGTGATCGATATCCTGGAACAAAATTATATGCACGTACATGGATACCAGAAGATCCACGTTTAAATCGAAATTTAAATAATAATCAACAATCATTAAGTCAACATTATATAAATCATTTAAATGGTAATACCAGTAACTGTTCATCAAATATTAATAACGGTGGAATCTATACAAATACAGGAATATAAATTTTTTTTCGCAAATTTTTTTTTTTGTTTCTTGTTTTTTAATTATTTAATTATTATAAATATTTTTTATTTATGTATATTATGTAAAAAAATAATGTGTCCTATTTATGTATATAAAATGAAGTATTAAGTATACTTTAAATTAGAAGCTACCCTATGGAAGAAGTGCTATGATCTCAACCTTATTTGTATAATAATTATGTATATGTATGTATAGTATATTTTTTATTAAAATTATTTATATTTATACAAAACTGTGTTAATTTTATAAAATTTAAGTTAAATCATACATATATATTGCAAAAGAATGAGCTAGTCAAAGAAAAAAATATGTTATATTAGAAATAAAATAAAATATAATATTAATTTTAAAATAAATATACAGTCGAACCTCCATAATACGAATCAAAAATTTGTAACGAAATTAGTTCGTGTTAAAGAGAGAAATCACGTTAAAAGGAAATGGAAAAAAAAAGGAAATATAATGTAAAATGTTGTGTTAGAGAGAACTTCGGGATTTTTTAATGGGAGATTTCGTGTTATAGGGGTTTGACTGTATACATAAACAAATAAATGAATTATAAGATTATATCCAATTTAAATTTAATTATTAATTGTCTTTTATTTAACGATTCGAAATTAAACCGATTATATAAATAAAGCGAAAACTTTTCAGATGGTGGCTTTTTGAGATAGATTACGAGAAAAATGCGGTTGAACTAATTCGCCATATACTATAGCGTTTCTAATTCGCATGAAATCATAGGGCCGTAATAAAACTTCGCCATCCAACTCTATTGTAGATTATTACGTGTTTTTGGGCGTCCAACATTTCTTATGTTCCTGCACTCCAATGTCCGTTTGACAGTCCTTTCGGGCGGACCTCTTAAGATGTATGTGACCAATCCAATAATATTTTTAGCTCTTAACGGTTAATAAAATTTATTCTTGACCGGTTAGCACCCACAGGTTATTATTTCTTTTACGTAAATTCTCTAAAATTTTCGTAAATTCCTATATACTGTGACTTTAATTAATCTTTAAATTTAATTTGGTTTTGTCAATAATTCAAAATTGGGAGATCGAAGCATAATAGCTAAGAAAAATAAGTTATAAGCTTTTAAAATCAATTTGAGTCGAACAACCCGAACATGAGTACGAAAGGGCCGGAATCGAAGGTCGAAAAGATGAAACAACTTCTGTACCTATAAAATAATTGTCATCGATTAAGTCTTCCGAAACAAATTTTTTGAAAAATTTCTGTGGCTCTTTATTAACATAGTAAGTAATGTTACTTTGATGTCATTGTTCCAATACACCAAATATACTAAAACATTGCTCATATTCAGGATAGATTCAAATAAAATTTAAATTCATCAACATAATAGAGGCAAGCTTTATACTACACAATTCATGTAATTGACTTACATGATCGCTATCACAAAATATAATTTTATAAATTGAAATACAAATATTTCATATTTTCAACGCATTGTTCATACATAAATAAAATAATTTTATAATCTCACATCAGTAAATACGATATAAAAAAAATATTAAATAATGTTTAGTACGAAATTCAATAGAAATCTAAAATAAGATTGACATTCTATGAAAACGTACATTGAAATTCGAAACATGAATGGTCATCTTAATTGTTGATAAATATCAGAAAAATCATTAAATTTCACTTTAAAAATGTCGACTTTGCCAGTTTTATAAATATATTTTGATAAAAATAATTAAATATTTTGTTGCATATGTCTTTATTAGTTGATTTTGTCAAACTGCGTCAATTTACATAATACCTTTACGCACATAATCAAAGATTTATGAATATAAAACGATAAGACAAACGCAATATTGACCCAAAGATTGACCCTTATACGTACATTGTGTTTCATTGATCAATTTATGATTTATGTAAAATGATAAAAGAAAAACACACGCATGACACATTTTTTTTCAAATGCATTAAATTTTTTTTCTAAACACAATTATTATTCGTCCAGCGTGCAATGGTTTTTGTTTAAGTAAATTTTAAATGGTCTCTCAAGTGTTTGAATTGATTGAAATCTAATGTTAATGAGATCGGATGTCAAAATAGTAGAATGAAAACGATGTTTTGCTATTATGATTACAATAAGGCGTTTATGTAATTTTTTTTGGAGCGGCTCAATTATTTGAAAATCTCAATAAAATTTTGAGGTAGGTACATTAAATAATGTAATATTTTTAAAGTTTAATTTCAATGGTCACATTTTTGTAAAATAAGTACTTGCGCCGCACCGTATAGGCATTGTTAATTTGTCACCGTATAACGGGACATTTGACTTAATTATACAATGCTTCAATTTGAAATCATTCTGCAAGGAAATGTAGAAAGTGAAGGGGGCTAGCCATAGTTTGAGGACGTAATAGTCCGGAAAAATAAGGTATATACACTCAAAACCGACTTAGAACATACAACTGTAAGTATATAGCACTAAAAAGTAAATAGTTCTGGTTTTAAATTGGTTTCGTAAATAAATATAAAAATATAAATAAAAATTAAAAAATAGATATAAATAAATAAATAAAAAATAAATAAAAATAAATATAATAAATATAGAGAAAGTTATTGGCTCCTGGATCGTAAGTCCAATTTGGCAATTGATAACAAAGTATTGATTTATAGCCAAATCATTAAAGTAATATGGCAATCAACTGTGGGGTTGTGCTAAGAAGACTCACATTAACAAAATTCAAACCTTACAGAATAAAGTTCTACGGGGCATGTCAAATGCGCCATGATCTATACGTAAAATGGACATCCACAGGGACTTAGGGAATTCCTTTGTTTGTAGATGATATTGGAAGTTGTGCTACATAGCATAGGGTTCGTCTAGAACATAATGTAAATATAGAAACAGCTCGACTGCTAGACAACAGTGTTATGACAAAAAGACTTAAACGAACAAGAACTTTCGATTTAAAACAAAATACCAATTTCCTTATGGAAGGTATTTAATTCCTGTACAAAAAAAACCAAATAAGCGCAGAAGTAATAGTTGGTCTGTACAACCAGTTTTATCCGTTCAGAGTTTAGGTGATTTTTTAGGGTAGAAGTCACACTGATAGCGCCATCCTTCTTCGTGTTTCGAGATTTTTTCACCTAGTAGAAAAAAAAAACCTGGTTTCGGTTTTGTTTCGGGTCTGATCAAATAACAGTTTCCAGTTTTTTTTTTTTGATAAAAAACAAAACACTGAAATGAAAATTATCTCAGCTTAAATTTCGCTTTATTTATACCCATACATGGTGTAGTTATGTTCGACATACTAAACTCCCCAACCGCTAATTCAAAAATAAATAATCTATACTTTTATAAAAGAAGGTCTTTTTTAGCAATGATTCGAACCCCATTCGGTTACATTTATTGGCCATCGTCTAAAACCAAAATTAAGCAATTCTATTAAACATATAGGAAATTTGAAATTTTTTCAAATAATTAATTTATCTATTAAAAATTTGATTATCTTATTAAAAATTCTAATTCTAGAATAACTTTAAATCTATTATATTAGATTAAACTTAATATAACTTTGTATAACACATATTAATCGATAAAATTAACTGTAATACATAAAATTTGACTGCCCTTACATCTTAATGAATGTATATATTCCATTACACAATTTTGCTTTTCTTAATACAACAAAATGAATTCTACAAGTGTTATATTTTCTATAATTTATGACGTGTTCTATATGTATATCAACTAAAATAAAATACAAAATGGAAAATCTGTCTTATATGATGATATTATGACTCGGACATTTACAAAATATATTACAAAATAATGACGATTTTCTTTCAAACCGGAAATCAATTAGAAAGGGTCAATATATTCTAAAATTCTATATCAGATATGTGTACAAAAAAAAAAGGACAAATATTTTACCGATTTTATGAATGGTGATATTATCATAAATGTATGTGTATACAGTTTTCAAAAAGGAATTTTCAAATTACTCGTATTTTGTTGATTTACACTGAATAATTTGAGTTTTTATTTCTTTTTATTATAAATTAATATTTAAAATAAAATAAAACTTCTATACAGCTGGTTTTTACATACACAATAATTTTTAACTCCAAAATTACATTTTATAGTTAAAGATTTCCCGGTACCCTTGTTGAACTCACCATATTGATCACAATACCATGCCGCATACCACCTACATGCTTGTTTTTTTTTTTGTTATACAATTTTTTTTATTTAAAATGTAATTGTTGCAAAGTGTTTGTCCTTTTTTGTACATGTACAAATTTCTGTAACCCCTTTTAACATTTCTATTACAAGAGTATAAAATTATTGTTTTGAATACTACACGTTACATATGCAGTAAATTAGTGTATGATTCTTCGGCCCTTCATATATTTGAAGTTACTTCGGTATTTTTATGACAATAGAAAGGTGAATCTTTTTTTTTTGGCAGGTGGCTGATTTATGTCGTGATGCAATATTGTTCATAATATTAAGGATATTTTATTATAACAGAAAATTTTTGATGATTTTAATAAAAACAAAAAAAAAAAAAAATTAGAAGAGAAGAAACAGGAAATAATTGCTTGTTTGATGGTGCTAAACAATAAATGATTATTACCTAATTAGCTACTGTTTTAATTTCTATTATAATTTTATAAATTTGACATTAAAGTTTGTTTTAGACAATTAATAACTTCGCATTCAATTCCGTTTAATGGGGTATAACAATTTAAACGTATATTGTTATATGTGAATAAAACTCCGAACAGAATTATAACTGCCTACATACATAGGAGCAACTAAGCCCTTTACATTTTTTTATATAGAAAATAAAAGACAAATCCTCCATATTTGAATTTATTTGGGCTAGTTTTCACTCCTGTTATGGGATTTGATTTATTTATTTATTCTATACTGTCTTAAACAAACTTCTGGAGTGTATAAATTTCTTATAGTATAAGATATTTTTCTTAATAACCCATGCGTGATTATACTAAAATTTTATTAATGTTTAAAATTTCCGATGAGGTGAAAGCTTTCGCCGTGAAAACCAGCAACCTCTTGATAAAATTCTCCTTAAACTTACTAAAATCTATCAAATATATTAGTTAGCATGTTTTTTAACTAATACTTAACATATTTTTTTTTCTGAATCGTTTATCGAGATCTGGGACCGCTTGGGTTTGGTTTCCGAAAATATCCTAGAGCAAAAGTCGTATAAAGTTCTCGCCGAAATATTTTTAAAAAATTTTTTGAATATTTCGCCAAAATCT